AACGCTGCCAGTCTAAAAGCATTCATTACATGCCTATGGTTCATTTCCCGTCTAACCTTCGCCTCTTTTACCACCGGTTCTGCGCATTTGTTCAGCGCTAGTCATTTGCTCCTTGCAAAGACCCCTTCGATGGTGGTTTCCATCTTCGCCATTTCTGCTTCCAATCAATTATTTCCTTCTTTAGCGCCTCCCAGCTGGCCTCAGACGGCGTTTTTGTCGGTTTCGTCTTTTTACTTTGGGGTATCTGCTTTGGGCTTCTCGAAGCCGGTACCCGCTCACACTAGCCGTTTCCCTGCGCCGCATTTTAGGAGAACTGCTTTTACCGATCGTTTGCGTCTTGTGTCCTTAGCCGAAGAGCAGTAAGCAAGTGCACTCTTCAGTAAACATTACACAGCGTGTGCACGTCCATTTCAGGGTTTCGTGCTTTGTGTAGTTGGTAGTCCTGTTTTGCTAAGGTCAAAAACTGATGAGGATACCAATCCTTGCACCTATCGCACTGAATACCAGAAATAACTGTTTTCCTACAGGCCTTATTACCACATGTGTTACGGTTGTACAGGTAAACCATTATACAAATGATTCCTTCACGAAAGGGAATGACTATGTACAATACAAAAGCTTAAACGTATCGGTGAATAACTACGAAACAGATAAGATCACACTAGAGGGACACGCGAGAACAGACAAAACACTATATGGTAAAAACACTTGTCAGAGAAAAAAATCTCTCCCAATAAAACCAGTGAGAACCTTAGTAAATACTAAAAACCAGAAAATTTGTGAAATAACTAAGTTTATTTCACTACTCAGCGCAAATAAAATCGTAGGTAGTTCAAAAATTCAAACCGCGCGGTAACTCACAAGGCTTTGTTCAATTCAGTTTAAAGTTCATTTCAGTTTGCACAGGACAGGAAATGGCCACGGCCAATCAAGCGTCCGGAATTCCTTTGGTAGTGTGCTCACAAGTGTGCATCCACCTCTTCAATTGATCGATTTCCCCGTCTATCTGCAAACAGAGAGAAAGAGAAACCTCACTTCTCGGCGTGTCGTCGAGAAACTTTTAATGTGAAAGCGTTCCTTATTGCACACAAAAAGGAAGTTATGAACCTAAAATTCGTATCCTGTTTGGTATTTCGCGTTTGGATACAGTTCTAACCACCTCTTATCCAAAGCCAGTTTAAACGTGTGAAAACTGGGCAGGTTGACTAGTTCCTCGAGTAGTCCATTCCACCTGTTGACTATTCCATTGCTGCGTTAGTCGGACCTCACCTAACCTAATCCTTCTTTTCATCAGTTTGTATTCGTGACCCCTAGTACCAGCACACGGGCATCATTGAACAATTTCTCTCGGGGAATCCCAGAGAATCCCCTCCTAATTTTAAACGCTTCTCTAAGGTTTCCTCTAATTCGCCTTCTTTCCAGTGAAAATAGATCGAGGTCCCTTGATCTTTCCTGGTATGATTTACCTCTCTGCCTCTCTACCATTCTTGTAGCTAGTCTCTGCACTTTTTCCAAGCAGGTGGCGTCTCTTTTGTGCAGAGGTGCCCAGGCTTGGACACAGCATTCTAGATGGGGCCTTACTATTGGTTTGTACAACGGGACAAAGATTTCCGGTTTTCTGCAAGACATAGCCCATCTGAGCCGGAAACGTTCTCCCCGTGCCTTGTGAGCTGCGATTTCACATTGGCTACCCCAGCTGAAATCCGAAGTTATTACCACCCCAAGATCCCTGACAGTTGCTAAAAGTTGGACTTCGAATACTCCCCGCGAATCGACGGCAAATAATGGATCCTTTTGCTTGGAAAATTGTTGACACTTGGCTGCATTCAGTGCCGAGTCTCACTTATTTAACCACCCAACTACACGTTCAATGTCCCTCGCGAGGTTAGCCTTGCCACTCGATCCCACCACCTTCACGTCATCCGCGAAGACGAAACAAGGTTAGTTAGATAACCCAGCTAAGACAATGATGAATAAAAAAATAGTAACGGTCCGAGAACCGAACCTTGAGGCACTCACTGGTCAATTGAATGACCTGAGAACTGGCCTCCCCTACCCTCACTGCAAAGGTTCTATTTATTAGGGGAGCGGTTAACCACTTATGCAAATTTCCTTCTGGCCCAAAGCTTTTGGTTTGTGAAGGAGCAATCCGTGGTTCACAGAATCGAAAGCTTTGCAAAAATCGAGGTAGCAAACCTCAATGGTATGGCCCTCATCTGGCTTTGCCATGACTTTATTCAGGTAGCACAGAAGGTTAGAAAGACAGAATCTATGCTTTAAGAATCCGTGCTGTGCTTAGTAGGGTGTAACGCAGTTGATGTCTACATACGTGCTTTTATTGATCGATCTGTGAAAATCCTTCCTGTAAAGCCCAGTCAATCTATCTCGGTTCCACAGTCCGTGAATTTCACGTTCCATCCACCTAACACCATCCGCCTCATCCATACATAAACATTTGACGTTGCACTCCGTTTGTATATTTACACATCGATCCTACTATTTGACTTCATTTGTTTATCTGCTTCATTCCTACCCTACTTGTTTTACTCGCAACCTGAGCGCTCACATTTGGCTCGTTTGTGTGCAGCGCGAAGGTGAGCATGCTGTTGTTGTCCAGACTCATTTTCTTCCGTTCAGATTTATTGAATTACGCCCACAGTAACACTTGGGTCTTGTTTTCAAGTTGTTTCATGATAACTTTGAGGCTTTGTACCTATTTTATTTGCTTATTTGATCGTTTATTAATGCAGCACCGTAGAAACATGATAGATCGCTCGTTTTATTCAAGTTTTGAGATCCGATTTCGGCTACACGTTACTCGTTGATCTTTACAGGAGGCACAATGCTCTCTAATAAGCTTCTCCATGCATTTTCCGAGGATTTTGGTTAGGCTTACTGGCCTATAATTTCTTATGTCGGATTTCTGACCACCCATGTGAAGCGCTACCTCGGTAGGTTTCTTCCAGTCACTAGGCAAAACTCCGTCCGCCAGATCCTCAGTACTCTGTATCTGTTGACTCCCTCAAGACGGAATAACCCACCCTCTATCCTCTCTGAGCACACGTCCAAAATATCTCTTCAGTATTATGGCCTTCTCCTTGTTAGTTGTGACTATTTTATCGCCCTCCAGGTTAATGCTGCCTATTTCATCCCTAAGCACCCCCCTTGGACTGCACGTAACTATAATACCCCTTGGGCTTTGCTTTCGCATTTTTAGCTAGCTTTTAGTTTGTATTTTCACTTTTCGCTTCGAGCAACGCGAACAGCCTCGTTCCCGTATTCTCCGTTACGCTTCCTCGACAGCTGCGATCCTACCTCCCGGTATTGCTTGCGGCCGGCGTTACAACGGCGTATTGCCTTTCCAGTGGAAGCTTTTCACCGAGGTGGTTTACCGAATAACTTCTGCAGTTTCAGAGACGCAAACTCATCCTGCAATGCAAGTAAGTTCTCTTTAATTATTTTCCACACATCTTCCATTACAACCTATCTTCGGTTTGCTGCCAGACGAGCTCAGTTGAGTCAATCGGCATCTAATTTTCCGAAGCAGAGTACCATATGTCCATGTGGCTTCGGTAGCTTTGTTCCTAGTGTAAACCATGCGGTCGCTGTTTCCTATTGGGGGATAGTTGTCCAACTCCTGCACATCCTTATCGTACCACGTGATAACAAGGCCCAGCAGAGACGGCAGCTGTCCCGACCAAAAATGCATGTTTTCTGTTACGTGCTGGTGCACTGCTTTGAGATGCATCCAATCTACAAAGCCTTGGTCCTGTATATCTCCTCCGATCCAGCCGCCTTATGGACGTCTAGACCCTCCAACTGCAGGCGCACTATCTCTTCCGATAACAGAATCTCCTCAAATTCTGGTTGTGAGGATCCTAGCTTCAGGATTCTTGGCATACCGTCATCTATTTGGTGCATACTGCCGAAATAACCATCCAAGGCATCTGCTTTACCCTGGACGTCCATAACGACCGCTGGAGCACCTGTAATTATTGGTCCTATACCATCTCTCAGTGCTCCCTTGAACTGAACGTAGCTGTATTATTTCTTCGGTTTGATTTTGGCGCATTGGACCAGCCGAAGTTCATGTTGTCTTTTAGATTCTCGTATTAGCCTAAACGCTTCATTTCTACGCCTTCTATAACGAATTAACGCTTGTTGGTCTCAGCAAAATCTAAAGCTCTTCAAGTACCTATTTTGTTGTTTGACGGCTTGTCTCTGAGTCGGCTGAATTTCAAAGGAGCGAATTCGTTTAGTAGATCCACGAGTGCCTCCATTATTAACCTCTAGTGTTCTTCTACACTAGCCCCCTCCGGAGATTCCCTAACCAACTCCTATGCCCCATTTCTGAGATTCCCTAGATCCATACAGCCGAAATGTCTTATCACCTTGGATGGTGCTCTAGCTTGTCGCATGCAAACTTTGATCAATATAATGACGTCGTCGCTTTTACCAAAAAGTGAGTACTACTGTAGCGCCGTGATGTCATTTTTGTACGTAGTGATAACGATATAGAGCAGAAAAGGCGACTGACCTGAATTTAATGCTTTCCTTAACAGGGCATTTTTGTGCAACCATTTGAGGTAGCCCTCTTCTGTTGACTCCCGAGTGCACACCACAGACCTCCCGTCTATATGTGGTAGGTTGGAGACTGCTAATTTATTGGAATCGAAAACCTGTTGTGCAAATTTATTTAAATCTTTAAGCTTGAGGTTTCCTCTGAATAGGTCCATAAGTGGACGAACTATCGGGGCACATTTTGGGATAAACCTACAATAGTATTTGATCATTCCTATGAAACGATTGAATTCGGTTGCTGTTATAGGTGGAGGAAAATCGCGAATTGCTGCGATTTTGTCTTCTACCGATGGAATCCTTGACAATCAATATAGTAACCTAGAAAATCTAAGGAATAATGGCCTAATTCGCACCTAGCGGTCTTAACGGTAATACCATGTTGCTGTAGACATTGACAAAGTGTGCGTGAGTGCACTTAGTGTTCGACGTCGTCCTTAATTACGACTAAATAAGGAAAAACGAAATCTAATCCACGAAGGACCTCGTCGATGAAACGTTAGAAACGTCTATGCAGCATTGTGCAGTCCCGACAGCATTCTAAGGAATTTGAAAAGGCTAAAAAGAGTGATGACAGCGGTCTTAGACAAATCCACCGGGTCAACAGGTATTTGGTTATAAGCGCTAACCAAATCAATCTTACTAACCCTTAAGACTAACCCTTAAGATTAGCTGTTAAATCGTGGATGCGTGGGATCGGATAGCTATCCGAGATGGTAAAACTGTTGAATCCACGATAATCTCCGCATAGGCGCCATTCTTTCTACGGCCTTCTTAGGCACCATATGGAGTGGCGAGGCCCACTGGCTTTGCAAGGGGCGTATTATACCCGCCTTAAGCATCATGTTGAACTCTCGTTTGGCTAAAGCCAACTTATCCGGAGCTAAACAACGTGCGCGTCAATGTACGGGTGGACCACGAGTGGCGGTCCTATGGGTAATCGGTGTGGTGACCGGGGGCGAAATTGTAGAAACTGGTTGAGGACAACCTTCTAACAAACGTTGCAACCCAAAATGTACACCGTTGTTTAAGACGGGACTTATTTCAACAGCGACAATTGCTAAACCTTTGACCGCGTTGGTGCTGTACAGGAGGAGGCGTTTACCTATGTCAACAATGAGGCCGTCATGTGCTTGAAAATCCTTTCCAAAAATAAGAAAAGGGACTTCAGCAATCAAGAATGGCCACTGAACTGCTTTAGATAAGCTAAAATCTACAGTGAGGTTTCTGGTACCAAATGTACGTTTTGTGGAACCGTTGGCCGCAGTCCAGGTGAGTGCTTGAGCTAGGAGCCTAAGTTCAGTGGAAGAAGGAGGAATGACGGTCACTTCAGCATCGGTGTCCACCAGGAAGTAAACGCCACTAATGGAGTTCCTAACGTGAAAACGGCGGCTCCTAGTTCGTGTGCCAACGGATGACGCCGTAATCAGTCGTCGGCTTAGTTTTTTCCCGAAACGGTTGAGCTTTCCACGAGCACGGGTGGATGCATTTGGCAACACCTTTACCAGAGCGTGCGTGGTATTAAAAATATTTCTGACTATTGTTTGGCGATTTAGATCTACGGCGATCGCTCAATTGCGGTTTTCCACTAAAGCGTGCTCCTCTAGATTTTCTATCCGTGCTGAAGTTTTTGATGAAAACCTGGAAGAGACCATCGACGGATGTGACTAGTGAGACGGCGGGGGTAACCGCCGCGACCGCGGTTTGATGGTATTGCATAGCATGGTCTATCATAACCGTCAAACGCTCAATGGGCATGTTTTGCGCTGGCAAAAAAAGGAATTGGACGTCTTGTGTTAACTTTTATAACCACAGTTCACTAAAGAATGCATCGTCATGTAGGATGTTGCCCATTTGATTACACATGAGCCTCCAAAGTTGTGAAGGTTTACGGTCGCCCAAAGGCATGTCTTGGAGTACGCGTTGGATTTGCTCTTTGTTAGAGCTCCCCGTGCGTTCTAGTATGGCGTCTCGTAGGGCTTCGAAGGGCCAATCTTCGGGAGGTTCTAAAACTACATCCAAAACCTCGGCTAATAGGTGTTCAGGCAACGAAGAAATAATGTGGTGGATTTTCGTCTTTGAAGGCTTAACGTCCCTAGTCGCACATTGTGATTCGAGGATCGCAAAACATACCCTGGGGTTAAAAGCCAAAAAGCGAGGGGTTGGTAAGTGGCGGCCACCGCAAGTGTAGGTTCATTGAATAAATCCAATAAATCCATGACAAAAATAAAACCACTGCATTCTCCCAGCAGATAAAGGAATAATTACTGTGGTTACCGACAAAACTCACGATCAACACTGCATAATCGCATAAAAAATAGGCAATTTTAGATGATTCTATCAAAAAAGTAGACTTCAAGTAGCGATAACAGTAAAGTAAAGTTCTGTATCTTCCTCAATGTTCTTCATATGACAATCCTTTACACTGATGCGATCTCCATATCCGATCACCCTCTGTACTGCAGTATATGGTCATGTCCGCTTTGTGTTTCTTTTTCACCGCAATTCATGGTTAAGATGTCTTTTTTATCCGTTTGAAAATTACGTTCTTACCCTCTCTGTATATATAACCTTTGGACCGTCATTTTTTACATTGTTTTACATTTGATCATGCGCACTAGCATTCCTCACGGGCTTCGTGTAATATACCATTATTATTATTATTATTAACACGTGTCACGGAATTGAGGCAAATGAAAAAGGAGACCAGAAGAATATCACATAAGCAATCATGGGTCATAAGACACCCAAACGTATGTACCAAAAGTGACGGTGTTCAGCAGATCCAGCTTGGAAGCTGAATCCATTTACTGATAGGAATTCGGTTTAGAAAGTAAACAATGCTACCTGGTTAGCAAGTGCCTCAGAATTTAGCCAATTTATTCGAGTCAAAACAAGATAAGAAAGATTTCTAGTACTGAATAAGGGGTCAAAATATTCTTAACAGAATGTACCAAAATTGATTGTGTTCCACCGATCCTGCTTTCAAGCTGCCTCCGTGCACTGATAATGATTCGGTCGGGAAAGTGGACACTGCTACCTGATTAGCATGAGCCAAATGGAAATGAGTTAAGAAAGATGGTTTTTTGCCGAGATTTCGTTTTACGGGATGAATAGCCATGCCAAAGTCTCGCAGTAGCTTGATGTTGTGGTTGAGCCTGGTCTGCGAATCGGGTTCCTTTGACCCCGGCAGGTTCACAATAGTTCAGGACAGGACAGACCACAGGAGGTGCAGCGGAGGTCAAAGCAGTCCCATTTCTTGCGCCAGTGAGCTTGGAAGCCCCACGGCGCTGCGAGAATTGCTTTTTCTTTCACGTTAACGTGAGTGAGTGCAGTTCTGGAAAAGAAAAGCGCACTGGTGATGGTTCGTCGGAGCGACAGTACACGTCTAAGGTTTTGTCGGAATCAAAGCTACATCTCGCAACCCACCACTCCGAGCTACTTAGAATAAGAGATGTTTTGTGGGGAAGAAACATAATCTAAAAGTGGTAAAGCTGGATGTTGAGAAGTTTTCATCAAAATATGTGGTGAACAAAGAATGAAAATTTAATTGAGAGAGTTGGAGAAATCAAAGTGAAGTATCTTAAGATATAAGAGCTTAATATGAAGGAAGCGAGTGGGAGACGGACGAGCTATTAGTGACCTTAGGCCCGGTGTCAGATACAATCGAGAAACGTTGATGGCCAGGATGCGTCAAGCTTCAGCTTCAACTCGGCAATGGTTTTTGGTGCCAGTTTAGTTCAGTTCAGTTTGCACAAGACAGAAAATGGCCACGGCCAATCAAGCGTCCAGAAATGTTTTGGTGGTGTGCGGTCAATTATGGCACTCATCACTGCGAAAGGTAATTCGTAACTTCCTGGCTGAAAAGAGGAAGAAAAGGGAAAGATGCCTCATTTGATCTTCAAGGCGAGAGATAGTTATACGTGAGCGTTCATCTTCCATGCTACATCCCAATACATGGCAGATCGAAAACAAAAACATGCAACCTGAGTAATCCTCTCCTAATCTTCTTGTTTTCCGAAGTCGCCAGCCGATCAGACATCCACTTCAGGAACAAGTTGACACCACCGTTCGTCCAAGGCTGTCTTGAATGCTAGCACGGTCCGCAGTTCTACTAGCTCCACAGGTAGCCTGTTCCATATATTGACTACCCTGTTGCTGAAGAAGTGTGATCGGGTTAACAATCAAGACAGGGCCTTGGCTTACTTCATTCCGTGCCCCATTGCACGGGAATCTAGCGCTCCCTGGAACAGGATTTCAGATTTAATACCGGATAAACCATTCATTATCTTAAAGGTTTCGATCATATCGCAACTAAACCTCCTCTTTTCCAAAAGGAATCATCCCATATCCTCAAGCCTTCCTCTGTAATCTTTACCTCGCTGAACTTC